GACCGTTCTGTGACCATAGAACGCTGTACTGCTGTTGAAATTTGATATGGGGCACTTCAAATTAACTCTAAAAACACCTTGGAAGTTGCTCAATTAAAAAAGGGATGCATTTCTTCATAACGTTGAGGCGTTCTTCGTGGCTGAAAAACAAATCCTGGCAAAGAATCATTCTTTGGCACCATCAGAATTCCTTTTTTATGTTGGATATGTGACGAACCTCTTGTAAGCTACGTTGGTAAACAGTCTAAAATCGATTTGGTGTCAAACTTAAAATTTAAAAACGCCGGTGATGAGAATTGAAACTCTTTATCCTCCCAGCAGTGTTCTGAGGGAGACGTTGCCGGCTGCTTTGAGCGCGACGACTTGGGAGGGGTCTCAAGAGATAAATGTTCTCTGTGGACACCGATGACACCGTGCGTGTGGTGGTATGGGGGGTTAACGCTCCCCTCAGGAGTGGCCACGCCCATAGGTGGAAAGGGTTGATGTGCTGTTACGGGACCATAACCCAAGCTTCCAGAGAGAAGTTTTTGCAAAGGATTAGAAGGTTCCTCTGTGTATGACTCGTCAGTTGGCCGCTGTAATATCTTGTAGACCGGCTTTCCTTCCTTTTCTTTCGCAACTGGAGAAGAACGGTGTGCTGAATTTTTTTCCTTCAAAGCCTGATAATCTAAAACGAATGAAACAACGTCGTCATTTGCATAAGACATGACTATAGGGGCTTTAACGGTGCGAGACTTCATGACACATCCACGTTTTCTGGTTTGCAGAATTCATAAACTTTCATTCTTTTGCATGAAATATACCGTCTATGGATGTTATGTGCAAAACGTAATGTAATATCCAGTCAGCGCATACAGTCTATAAGCATAAGAAAATACTTTGACTGAAGAGTAGTTAGTTTGAAGAAAACTACGAAGAGCTCTTTCAAGTTCCTTTTATCTTTCTTCTGCATTTTCTTCCATTGGCGCTCGGTACACCATTAAAAAAAACGTCTTCTCGAGGTCCAAAAACAGTGTAATTTAATTTTTTGTTTGAAAGAACAAGAAATCACAGGTAGATAGAACAAGAACAACTTGGACAACCTCTAAATTGCATATCGCGCAAACCACTTTCGAAACACATTGCGTGACACAGTAAGGTAACGCAAAACTCGAGTAACAACCGAAATCCGAAATACCACAGTGAAGTACCTTTCATCGTATTCCCTCTCTGTTGCACGTGGTGATATCGCAGGGGATGGTTTAGATCGTGCTGCTGTTGGAATCGCTCCTGTTGTTGCTTTCTTCTTCTCTCAACGGCAGCGCGTTTCTGTTCTTGTTCTAAGCGTTGATCTTCTTTAGCGAGTAGTTTCTGAAGTTGAGCATTTCCCGGTGATTCCAAAGCAACCGGCTCCGGATTAGGTTTATTTGCTTCTTTCTTTCGCGTTGCAATCCATTTCCGCAGATTTCTGAGGGACAAATTTGAAATCCTCATTTAACAATATTTAGGATTAGCGGCTGGCGGATTTCCTAGCAAATACACGTGTTAAAGTGACACCTCCCCCTTCCAAAATTCATGAAACACCCATAAATTCCGTTAACGGACGACCTGGAAGCAACATGAAGTCAGGATCAATAGACACATTTTTCTGACGGTGAATCATAGTATAACTAACCCCTATCTGCCAGCCCGTTCCACGCCCTCAGTCCATGGAGGATAATAGTGAGCTTAAGCACCAGATGTTCTTGAGGTCACGAACGCCTACCGGAAGTCATTAGAGGAACTATGTACATACTGCGCATGTCATGACGTTTGCGTGGTCACGTCGCAGACGCCAGAACGCCACTTTTCAGGTTGAAGGTAGGACGCCACAAAAATATGCTGTTATTTTGTT